GAGCCCGACATGTCTCGTACCAGGGCCTAGGTGGGTGGGGGTAGGGCAGGTAAAGGAGAGTGGTCAGAGAGGTCTTGGGCCCTCCTGACCAACACCCACCCTGCCACTCCCCCTCCACCTCCAGAAGAAACCTGCAGCAGAAAGGGGGTCCCAGGCACAAGGTGTCGCTTGCTGTGGCTAAGATCCAAGGAGAAGGGAGATGACACAAAATGCCAAGATGTGAGCTCTGCCTCCTCCAACTCTCCCCCTGCAATACACAGGGTAGCGAGAGGTGAAGGAGGGAGACCCAGGAAGAGGAGCCGGAGAGCAGGGGAAAGCAGCTCAAATGTTTCTCACCCACAAGAGAGTGAGCTCCTCAGGACACGGGCCATTTCCCATTCATTTCTATGTTTGCTAAGGCCAGTGCAGGACCCAGCACACAGATGGTGCTAACATGTGTCTTCTGGATGGATGAATGGATGGATGGACAGACGGATGGGCCAAAATAAATAAATAAACTAAGGGAGAAGATGCCACTTCCCTAGAAACCACCCAGAAGCACAGTTGGAATGAGAAAGTCTCCTGGGTCTTTCCCAGCTATGGGTCCCAGATGTGGGTAAGAAGGGTGGGCAGTGGTGTCAGTGCTAGAGAACATAGGGTCAGTTCAGAGGTCAGAGGCGAGGGTCTGGGGTTATAATCAAGGGAAGCCATTCACCTGGAGACTCAATGATGGCCGCTGCAACATAGAGGCGCAGCCCCGGGAGGTCAGTAAGATGCATGTTGAGCTTTGCCAGGGCACCCTGAACCTCAGCCTTGGAGAGGGAAATGTGGCACTGGCCATCTACCAGCTGGGACAAAGAAGAAAACAGGACTTGGGGTGAGACGAATCTCCCACCTTACCCCCCTCCTCCCTCACCATCCTCACCTCCCCTGCACCCCCACCCCATCCTCTTTCCTACCTTGGTCTGATTCTCCAGCCCCCGAAGGAAAGTCTTGTCACCATTCTCACCCAGGAGCGCAAAGCGCACATATGCCACCCCCTGCACTGGCTTCCCATAAATGTACCTGCCGCCACAGAGAGATTGGGAAGAGGGTGGGCCAAAGGCTGAAGGAAATAATGCAGTGGTCTAGGAGGGAGCGGGGCTTGAGTGAGGGAGAGCAGCAGGCACATTTATACAGAATAGGAGCTTTGGGAACAGGGCCCAGAGTTACCTGGCCTGGATGTCTAACTGGATTTCACCAAGAATGCCACCTGCTATCAGGATGTAGGGCTTTCCAGGGATGATCTTCACCTCAAAGTTGGGAAGGACTGACCCAGGGCCAAGGGAAAGGCAGGTCAGCCTCTAATGAAAGGACCTCTAAAGACTCCCCTCCCTTCAGGACAGTGGCACCCATATCTCCCAGCCCCTGCCCTGCTCCCATCACCTCTCCTTCCACCCCTTATTCCCTTCAGAAAGGCACTGCTTGTCCCTCATGTTTCCAGTTCTCACCATATTTCTTCACCTCAAACTGGGTGCTTCTGTTGGATTCTGGGCCATCTGAGAATCGAGCTGAGATCTTCCAAGTCCCTGGCCTGAGGAAGGACAAGGGAGGGCCTCAGAGAGCCAGCAGCCCGGCTCCCTGGGAAGAGGACTGTAGGAGTAAACCAGAGGCTCGGGAGACCTAGGGATCTGACTCTGTGCGTTGGAGTGGAGAGCAGGGGCAAATAGGAATCAGGTGGTGTAGTTGGGGGCAACCCCCAGATGGGGAAAGCTCACTCTGAGATGTCCGGGATCACAAAGTCATCCTGGAAGATGGATGAGGAAGCGTACACCTCCCTCTTTCGTACACGGAGGCCATGAGAGTTCTGTGAAAGGAGAAAAAGTGGTCACGGGTGGGAGGTCAGATCAGCAGCCCTAGCTGGTCAAGGTCAGAGGACAGGAACTCACCTCCACCGTGACCGTGATGGTGTCAGTGGACGGGCGCATCTTTTGATCCAGAGCAAAGACCCGGTACCGAACTGGGAATGGAGGGTGAGAGAGGTAAGTAGGGGTCCAGGAGCAAAGGGAGGGTGGGCCCCGGTCTCCCCACCCCTTCCAGGGAGTGAGGGGGAGAACAAACATTTGCTAAGCAGCCTTCCTGTGTGGCACCTTCAGGTCATCTCACTTAAGGGGTTGGGAGAGAATTAAAGGTAGAAGCCCTGGGGCTAAGACCCACCTCGCTGGCCAGGGTTATAAATAGGCTGGTCGGTCTGCAGAAAGAGGTGCCCCCGGCGAGAGGAGAAGAGAAGGTTGACGCCCTGAATATCTATCTCTTTAGACCCTGTGTTCTTCAGCCACGGTGACTGGGCCACCAGCTGGACCTCAGGGCCTCCAAGGAGGCTTTTGAGGCCACAGCTCTCCGCACCTCTCAGGTGCATCTGTCAGGAGAGGGAGAGGGAAAAGGAGTAGGTCAGAGACAGAGCAGAAAGAAAAAAACAGAGACTGAGACAGAAGAAAGGAAGAGGACCTTGAGGTGGGACGAGGGGAGGAGAGGGAAGAGGGTGAGAAGGCAGACATTTACAGAAGACAGAAAGGAAGAGTGGGAGGTGCTGAGCAGGAGTGAGTGGCATCTGGTTACCTGGACATTGAGAAGAATGAAGTCTTTTTCTGAGGTGAGGGTGAAGTCCACCTTTGGGGAGCAGGGGACATTAAGCTTGTATGGGTTTCTCAGGAACACTGATCCTTTCACTACCTGTCCCTGGGGAGCATCCTGGAGCTGCAGCCCCACCGATAGGGGGACCCCCAGGTGAACCACAGAGGGAGAAAACAGGAGCAACCTGGGGAGAACAGGTAAGGGTAAGCAGTCGGCCTCTACTCCCTCTTCTCCAGCTGCTCCACCCTGCCCTTCCACCTCTGGCTCCTGAATCTGCTCGCCCTGCCCCACGCCTACTCTCCTATCGCCAGCCCTGCCCCCATTCAAGTAGCACAGCACCCTGCCTCCAGGACCTGGGCTCCTGCAGAGACAAGGCAAAGAAGCTGGACACCCAGGTCAGACCCCAGAGAAGCCTCATGGCTAGAGGACCCAAGAGATCAGACTCATCCGTCTGTCTGCTCCTTTCTGGTCAATCTCGGGCTTGGAGCAGGGTTGACTCTGGACCTTGCTCCTCCCCTGGCCGTTAAGCCGGGAAACCACGTGACAGCCAAGAAATGCAACTGGCCCCTGGCCCAGTATTGGGGGGTGAGGGGAACACCCCAGACACCTGGGTCTCTGAGGGAATCTGAAGAAATCATAGCCCAGAGATAGATC